AATTGAAAAAAAAAATCAGCAGACAAGGCAAACTGATTGGATCTTCACACTGGAATATAATATAAATGTTTATTGGAAATAGCAATAAACACATCATCCCATTCATGAACAGCCAAAATAAACCTACACCATAATTTAAAGCGTATGCCTACATCAGCATGTAGGTCTGTGCTGGATATTTTCACCATTTAAAGCTAATCTCCATGCTGTTATAAAAACAGGAAGTAATGCAGTTATTTATTCATTAAAAATAATTAAATGGATTTCTAAAATTGACTACTGCAAGTACCTGAAGTTCATTTAAATTTCTTTTGATGTCAGGCTCTTTTAATCCTCTTTATAGAAGCATTTACATTGGAAGAGCGAGGCCAACATTTTCAGGGTGCTTCTGCTCCTTTACTGTTAAGTCAGCAGGCTGGGGGTGTGGTCTTCACTAAGCATTACTGCTACTGCAATGTTGATCATTGACCTGGTTGTGCTGTGCTAAAGGTGATTATGTTACATGATTTTGGAAAATAGTTTTATGATACTTTCACATTTTATCAGTAAAGACGAGTATATGGGATTTTTTTTACTTCACTATGGGGTCTATTCACTAAGCTGCCGAAGGATCTAGCCATAGCTTTGGCCGATCCTTCAGCTAGCTTCGGCCGCAGGACCCCTTCGGTTCAGTAGAACCGAAGGGGTGCTGTAGGGCTATTCACTATAGCCCGTACAGCTCCCGAATGTGGCCAAGCGGCTCAGTTGAGCCGAACGCATATGCATCGGCTCGGCTGAGCCGCACTGAAAGCCGAAGCTGGCCGAGCGGCCAGCCTGGTTCTGACAGCTGGGCGGAGCCAGCCGTGATCTTACGGCTGGCTCAGGCAACTTGCAGAGAGATCAGCGTCCCTGGTTACCTGCTAACCAGGGACACTGATCTCCAAACAGCAAACTCTCCCTGGCGCTCTGAGGGACCGAGCAGAACAGCCGAGCCGAATGCCGCTCAGCGGCATTCGCCTATTCACTCACTGCTGTTCGGCATCTATAAGAATAGGCCGAACAGCAGTGAGTAGCCTGAGTTCGGCTCAGCCGATCCAGATGTTGGATTGGCTGAGCATGCTGAGCATGTTCGGACGAACCGAAGCCATGCAAAGCAAGCCGATGTTTGGCTCACTTCACTTGGGGTCGGTTGTTCACTCAGCTGCCCTCGGCAGCTTAGTGAATAGACCCGTATGTCTTTAGTCTAAATTCCTTTTTAAAGTGGACCTAAAGCTAGAGTCTGACTGTAGGTCAGCCTAAACCTTACTTTGCCTGCTGTCATTAAAACGTAGAACTGCACTTAAATACTTAAGTGTCAGTTGAAGAGGGTCCTCTGGGCTTGATAACTCAATGGTTCCCTGCTACTTCTGCCCTAACACCATGACTGAAGGTTTAGAACTCAGAGGGGCACACACATCCTATAGTCAGTCATTTTATCACTTTAGGTCTATTTTCAAGGCTCCAGCTGAATCATTTCTTCAGAACATAAACTGAGAATTACTGAGAAAGTTACTTTTTACATCAACTGTTTAAATAATATTTCTCCATATTGATTTATGATACCAATTGTTTGATCCCTCTTGAGTCAATAGCATAAAAACATTGCCATAGCCTTAAACTGTTTGGTTTATATTCAAAAAAAAAAGTTAACAACCATATGTTTCAATTTAACACATTGCTATTAGATTTGGGCCATACCTTGGCAACTGGGCTGTATTTAGAGTTTATGCCGCCCTGAGGCCACCCATTTTTCCACACTTACATTGCATAACTATTACTGTGATAATTAAAACCAGTATATGCTAATGGATGTAGTATTTCAGTGCTTTAAGTACAAAGGTTCCATTGGATTGTGAAGTTTCTTAATCCAAACATACTTCCAGGTGCTTCTTTCTTAAACCATCCAAGCAAAATCTATTAACAAATAATTGACAAGGAAACTCCATTAGGGAGTTGCATCTAAGTGTAGAAAATACCAGGTGACTTAAAAACGTATCGTTGACCTCTGGCAAAGCCTCGTCTTCAAATGCCAAAACTTGTAGATGTCTTTTACTAAAACCTAACAGATTTAAAGGGTCTTCTAAGTGATGAACAGGGTTTGCAGTTAAAACAGATGCAGTTTAGGTAAGAATCACTTTTTTAAATATTTTATAGCTTAAAGATAATTTGTGATATCTATATTGGATCTATTTGTTTTATTTTTATGAAAACATTGAGCAAAACCATAACAACTGAAGGTAAAGCCACCCACTAAATTCTGATCTGCCCAAAATCCAGGTAATTTACGAACATAACTATACCTCAGGGGTTCTTAAACTTCTTAGTATTTTATTTTAATAGTGGGCATTTCCAACCAGCCCAAAGTCTTTTCATCTCACATTCTTGTCTAGATAACTGACTTCACTCCCCACCTTTCATGCACTCTACCTCCCCATACGTGCCTGTGTTGCCATTAACGGTTAATGTGCTATCATCTGCTGATTTTGCGCTTGTACACAAAGTCAAATGGGGACCCATCCCAAACATGCCCATTTTTGGTCTCAACCCATAGTTTAAGAAACGCAACTATACCTGAATTAACCAATGTGTATCTATTTTAGTATGCCTTATTTTGACTGGGACCTCACCCTACAGGAACAACGAGTCCTTGAAGTCTCTTCATATACATCAACAGCAACCTGTCTCACTTTTGTTTGTAATGCATGGGGGACTAAAGTTACTGAAATTACAATTCTATTTTTTGGCAAAACCCAGAAGTCTTCATTTGAAAGGCAATGTATAGTTATTTCTTATTTATTTATTTACATTTATTGTAGTCAAGACTTAAAATATAATCATTTGAATTTTTTTTCAATTGAAAAAAATGTGTAGATGTGAAAAACAAATGAAAATAAAATTTACCCAAACCATTATAATTTCCCTTTAATCTATGGAGGGCTTAGACTAAACTAGCGGATTTCCAGTTTTCTTAGAAATTCTCTGTAACAATATTTATGACAACTGTTATTAATCATTTTCTGTTGTTGCATCTTACAGCCCTTTAAAAGCCACAAGGTGAAAGTAAGAGGATCCTCCGTGCTGTGGAACATATTTATGAGAACATTTGAAATATACAGCTTGTCACGAGAGGCTTATATGTCATCAGGAGTCTGATCTTTTTTGGAGATGAACCATGAGTGCAGGAGAGCTAATAAGGGTAATCCTCTTACCTGTAGTTCCACTGGTTTGCTGTATTCCAAGGTGAGGCAGCAAATGTAAGGACACGTTTATGACATTGTGTACTGTTTGATGCATATTTTTTGATTTTTTAAATGTTTTTTTTTCTCAAAATCAGATTCTAATCAGCTGCCCTAGGCCATTAAGCGACTGTGGCACCATATGACAATGATGGTTAATCTTTTATTGAATTAACTGTGCTAAAATGTTATATGTGTACAAGGAAAGACTTTCAGCTACAGTAGCTGTTTTTGTTTTTTCAGCAATCTATATTGCTATGTTTCTAGTGCTGATTTTTGGTAATCTAGCAATATGTATAATGATAAGGGTCCAGATCTAAAACAACCTAATAAATACATCACAGAACAAAATATGGTTGATTCATGACAGGTACATGGTAGTACACAGTCACATTGTCCAAAAAAGGTGCTCATCTCATCATAGCCCCTTAGGCTCATTTGGGGCTCCCATTCATAAAAAAATAAAGCAAAGAAAGTACTCCAAGCTTGAGAAAGAGCCAGTTGAGCAATGCCCACAGAGCTTCTAACTTTGCACTGCCACTTTGTATATTACAGTTATAGAGCTATTTGTGTACTGATATATAGATGCTCAGTGTGGAGCAGATTTTCTGGATTTCAACGGTAATACATAGTCAATATTTTGATTAATACAGAGTCAATTGGTTTAACCATTTAATGTCACTATTACCTATAAATTATTTTTCTGTATAAAATTGTTTTTATTAATTTGCTATAGTTAAAGTGTAACGGCAGGCAAACATGTAAATACAAGGTTTTACCTGCTAACATTTTTTTATTGTTGTGATTTGCTTCTGCCACACTATATGCTACTCTTGCACTTATTTCCTCCTTCAGCAATACAACTCCCTTTGCCACCTCTCCATCTTCAATCTACTCACAACATCATCACCTCTATCCAATAATCAAAGAGATGACTTTTGAAGAAGTAAGGCTCCATTCACATATAGCGTTTATGTTTCCCATGCGGTTTTCCGTGTGGAAGACAGCGCACAGAAGAAAACGCAAACATTTTTAATCTGCACGGATTCCGCCTATTTGCGGCCATTATATAACCGCGGATGTGACGAATCCGCCATATTATCGTGGTTGTACTATTTTGCGGGCTGCACAGTTCCGTACTGCGCGGTCGCCGCAAAAGTCTGAACAATGCACAATAAAGTGCATTGTTTTTTCTTTTTAGAGCAGCTCCGCGCATATTCAGCCAGCCTAAAGCTGTATCAGAAAGTAGTAGTGCTGAACTAGGAGGTATAAGGTCAGGAAGCAGAAGGGTAATTTACGGAAGAGGTGCATACATGCATATCAGACGTGTTTAGAAAAAAGAGTAACTAAAAAATCCTCTGGCAATTAAAGAATAGAAGTCAAGTAAGTCAATTGCATATTGTTCCACTGAATGTATGTTGATTTTTTGTATTTACTAATCGTAATCGCAGTCATGTAATCTACAATTTATTTTATTAGTTTGTCATCGAGATTTGGTACTTAATAGCAATTTATTGAGTGCTTCATCACAAATCTACAGTTACTGATGATTTAAAGCCACGTATGCAAAAATGATATAAAAACAATATTGAACAATTAACAAATTAACAGATTAACAAATGACAGAATGTGAACCACAGAATGTGCCCAGTGTATGAAAAGTGTGCTAAAGATCACATTTTTGTTGCACAAGTAATCAGCTTTCTGTCATTTCAAAAATCCAAGTTTAAAAAAAAAATTAAACTTACAATTACCTTTAGCACACTTTCTATATGTCATCTCAATATTGTTATTACAATTTTTTTGGTATGTTTGGTCCTCAACGTGTTCGTCTTCTTAAAGCCTTCAGGATCTAGTGAGAACCTGGAACATTTCTACCAGATTATAAGTAAGTGGTAGCCTCCCTATTTTCTCTTTCTTTGGCTTGTGCAACAGCAATATTGATACACTGCAGCCATTCTTCTGCATTCCTTTCGTCCTTTGCCTTGAACACATAGGTTTTATTTTCTGTGAAGATTTCAAAGGCTCTTGGAAGGCCCCGGTCCCTGCGCTTCTTAGGAACAGCTTTTACACTTTGAACCTTAGTCAGCTCAATAGGACAATCATCAGGGTCATCTTTCTAAAAAAAGAAAACATAATCACAAACAGTTACAGTACAGTGAAAAAATGCTTTCACCCCAGTTGTGGTTCAATCACTCACACAAAAACAACAAATCAATGAACAAAAACAGGCTTACTCCTCTGAATAATGGATTGCTATATGTAGCACATTCCTAAGAAGGTGGTTTGCATAAACTGAATAATAGTAAGGCATGGTTACTGTTGATTTTACTATAGATTGTAATTGTGGTTCTATGAATTAAATTACTGTGGGCAAGAGAGACAATATCTTTATAGAGTAGAAATGGATCCACTCTATAAATTCCATCAGACTAGTATTTTTTTCTAGTAAACATTGTAGCAAACAAATTGAGGGGAATTTATCACAACTGGAGCAGACAAAATCTGGAGCAGCTGTGCATAGTTTGCAGTCAGCATCCACCTTTAATTTTCAAAGCTTAACTGAACAAACTGAAGTTTTGATAAATCCCCCCCATCATGTTATAGGTATGGTTCCATACCTTGACTTTACTTTAATTACTTAGTATCCCAGAGGGGCCATCATCCCCATACCTAGCGTGGCCTTGACAAGCTAAATTAGACTTTTCAGTTGGGCCAGTGGCGTCACAAGGGGGGTGCGGCCCGCACCCGGGTGCCACCATTGGAGGGGTGACACCAAAATGACTCAGTCATTTTGGTGTCACCCCCCTCTGAAAAGTCGGGCGCTCGTTCATGGACCGAACGCCCGACAGTATCAGGAGAGAGGAGGGGACCCGGCGGCATACCTTATCCCGCCGGGTGACTGTCTCCTCCTCTCTCTGCCGTCGTCCATCACCAAGATGGTCGCCGGCAGGTATCAGAATACTGCCGCGCAGTGACGTCTCGGCGGGGTTAAACTCGGGTGTCACCCAGCCTCGGGACGCCCCTGAGTTGGGCTACTACTGTCACCATGGTAATTCTGCATATGTTGCATACATTTGCAGAAGGAAAGCGTGTGTATATAAAATTTACACATCCAAGATTCCTGAATGGAATTTTCATAGGAAGAATTAAAAATAGGGGATGATACGTGTAATGTGATTATCATGAATTACTAGCATAACCGCTATTTGCAGTGTTTTACTATTATGTGTGTGTTTTTAGAGATATTGGTAGGCCCGCCTATAATCCCTAGCATGCCCTCTGACCCATGAAATTGGTTGCTCTCCACCTGCAGCAGGCCATTATTAGTAAAATTTACAGAAAAAGGTACCTTTTCCTTGCAGGGTCCTATGGAGCCACTCCTCTACTCCCCGCTCCCTCCTCCTACATTCTTCCTCCAAGATTGACATTTGCTGGAGACTTAGCTGTCTCTTCTGAGCTTGTACTGAATATGAAGTTCAGTCAAGCGGAGCTGAGAGAGTTGGAGTCAGCTGTTTTGAACCATGATGAAAATAGATGCTTGGGCAAAATTTTAAGGATATATTTTCCTGTTCTATTCAAAACAAAAATATAAAAGTTTGCCTGGAGTTTGGTTTCCAGCCTATTTCTTTTATCAGTTGGAGTAAAGCATGCTGCATTCTTAAAAATGAATTAAAATAGTTAGCTAAATCTCCTAAAAGCCCTCATCCTACACAGAATGTGTGCAGTCTCTTAAGAGAGAAGGTGAAAGCATAGGTTTGCTGGGAAAGAAATCATTGTATGCATGTGGAGTGGGACAAACAGTGGCAGGGATAGGCAAAGATCTACTGTCTAGCAAGCAGGCCTGACAAAACTTGTTGTAATTACAGCTCAGCAAAAGCACTGTGTGTTCAGCTCAAACAGGAAGTTATGAGCACAGTAGATTTCTGTCCAATTATTTGTAGGAACTTCTCCTAAAGGCTGTAAATAATCCACAGAAGAAGGCCCTGATACCTTATACAGACACTCACATTGGGAGTGTCTGTATAAGGATTGCAGTGTCAGTTGTTTCCTTACAATCTAAGGGAATACCAAGTCCTCCAGCGATGGTTTATAACTGCTGTGCAAGAGATAAATCACACCTAAGTGTACAAATCCCTATCCACAAAATGGAGACTACAAGATGGAGGGGCCCAGAAAGCAAAACAGTGCCTCTAAAAGGAACCATGTGGTTGAGAGTAAGATCCTCGACATCATCCAGTGAAGGGACAAGGTCACTCACTCTGTCACAAGAATTCCCAAGCCTTCTCTGAAGTGAAGGACTTACAGCACGAAAGTAATGTCTAATGCAGTCCAGTTCAAGGGACCTGCTCACATAATCACCAAGTGCTCCAGGGAACAGAATTACGGGCATTAGGGCAGCCTTGAGACAGAAGTCCCCCTTCACTAGACAGAAGTCCCCTACACTGGTGAGGGGGGATTACCCCATAGACCCTAAAAGACTGAGGGTTCAAATCAGGAACCACTAAATCCATAGAGACCGCCTGCATATCTTGATTCAAGTCCAGATTCCTAGATGCCAGGTGGGAGACTAAGGAAGACAGAAGGTAAACAAGAAAAGTTGAAGTGATGTAAAGAGGGCAAGCCCCCAGTATCTCACTAGTACAGGGGGAAAGCTTTGATTGTTACCAACACTACACATATCTAAGGCTGCAGAGAGTGGAAAACTACAGGGGTTGGGCCCTTGTGAGAATTTTGACTATTCTAGTGCTATTTCTGTTAACCTGGCTCACAGAAGCATCCACATGCATGGACTACCTATTAGTTAGTCCATTCTGAAAGGGGAAAAGCTCTTGCATAGACGTCCCCACCCTTCCGGTTGCTTCCAGTCCACATAGAGGAAGTCCTCAAAGATTGGGTGTAGCAGAAAGGTCTTAGCAGGCACAGGAGCTTTAAAAAAAAAACCCTAGGCCTATAAGAACAGGCTTATCCAGCAAGTGAAATGTGATATGCACTGCATGCATAAGGTTTGAAACAACCCCTTGTACATCCAAGAAATGATAACAGGGGCTGCAGACCCAGTTTGGCTTACAGTCTCAAGAGGGGAGAGACTGTCCCTACCAGGGATGTTGCTGAAGCACAATTAGAACACCTGTGGACAGAATGGTCCAGTAGCTGGGCACAAACAGCAAGGAAGTATCTACTGGACATGAGGGGAGGCCTTGGGTCCACCCAACAGAGCTGAAATAGGCTCCATAAATGAAGACCCTATAACAATAGGGGTGCCAGGTGTGAGATAACAGGCATCATATACTGCTGGGGACACGGCATAAATGCCCCCAGAACCATCAGGGAAATATGGTCACTGTGTGTCTTTGAGAAGACACATTGCATTGTGTGGAAACAGGCAACTAGGCCCAATATAAGGCAAGGCCTCAAGTACTCAAACTCATCATTCTCAGTCATTGTAAGGGAACAGTGGAACAAAACTGAAGGCTGGCATCCACTTGATGCTTCACAAGCAGGAGTAGCAGTGCTAAGGTGCTTCATCAAAGAGAAATGGTGTGCATGAAAGTGCGCAGCATGCGGGTATGCAGCACTCCATCTAGCGGATGATATCAGCACTCAATCCCTCAGCCTTAACCCTTACTGCTGTGAAAATGGTAGGAAATTTAAATGGTGCTACCAAATGTGAGGTAGCTCTCTGTGCTTCAGCCTTACTCACTAAGTGAGCCTTCAGAGTCAGGGTCATACCAGAGGCTGTGCTGTGGCTCTAGACCAAACAAGTGGTCTGTGGCAAACTAACACAGTACACAAAGGTCCAGAAAGCACCGCAATACAGAGCCAAATAACCAAAAGTAACATTCCAGGCTAGCTCCGCAATCTTCCAATTCAGTGCGGTTCAGGTACATTTCCACAGCTATTGATAAGGATATGCTGATCCAGATAGCTGCTATGTAGAGCCTAGTTCAAGCAGCATTATTGAAATCTTGCTTGAAGTCAAGAAAAAATTATATATATATAGTGTGCTGAGTATCATGATTGCAGAAATTAAAATTGAATAGAATAAAGGTTCGCAAAAATATAGTTAAACATTTCTGGATTACAAAGACACTACATTTTGCAATTACAAAACTTCTTGAACAACATGTAATCGACTTAGTAGAACAGCAAAACCAGAGCTATATTCCATTAATGTATTTAGGATTTGGAGTACAAAACATAAATGTCTTTTCGCTTTTCAGTGTTTTTCATGCCAGGTCCCAGTTTCACTTTGAACACAATAGATTGGAAGATCCTCAGCAGAAGCATAATAAAAACAAAGCCACTTCTAGCTGTCAAGTAACTACTAGGGTCTGTCAAAACATGGAAAATGGGATTCACAAAGTCTCCCTATAGAAAGCAGGCCAGCCATTCCTTTTCTCTCATTTTTGGGTCTAGAAATATTTTCCTACAGTAATGCAATTTCTCACAGAGGGGGCCACTTGTGAGACAACACTAGAGGTATTCTCACTCACTGGTGCTAAGAGGATTACTACATACTGAATCTAAAGTTACAGTTTTGGTTTATATTACTCTGTGGTTTGACAAATGATACCAATATGTTTTTTCTTAGAGCTACAAATATTTTTTTTTACACAGAAATGTTTTAAAACAGTATAAAAACTAACTTCTCTATGGTTTGTAATATGGCAGAGCTACCAAAGTGTAGGTTATTTAAGCAATTTATGCATATGTATTTAATATAAATACACAAAATACTGTATTGCACAATGCTGTGAATCTAACAAATTATGCTTGATTATTGGTGTGGAGAGCACAGAGATGGCACTAGCATTGAAGAAAAAATCCAGGCTTTACATTTAAGTAAGGATTCCTAAATATAACCTACTAACAATTTTGTTCCCATTTCTGATGATAGGAGGGCTATAAATATTCTAAGAAGTTGATCCCTTAAACAGGACACCTAAACAGTTTGCTGTCTATGATCAACCTTATGTAAGATCTTTGAGAGTCCATGGGAGCCATGCCAACCCCAAAAAAAGCTGCACACTGTCAATCTTCACTCGCTTCACGCGCTTCTCTATTTGTAAAATCCAGTAACCTCCAAGGCTGTGGTCCCTGCCTGATGGCTGCTCC